AGAGTTATATTCATCGACGGGACAACGGACAAAAAGATAACTTTTGGCGAATTTAAAAGGGATACAAAAAAGTTCGCAGCGGGATTACACGATAAAGTTGGATTCAAACGAGGAGATGTCTTGGCAATCGTTTCGCCTAACCAGGTGATAAACCGAGATAATTTATGAGAACCTAAATTTCTTCCTTTTTTTAGTTGAAATCTAAAATAGGGTTTTTTTATATTAAGGTTGATTATCCTATTGTATTATTTGGTGCGATCGCCGCTGGTAAGTGTTAACATGAAAATTGCGTAAATGAGTTGGGGTTTAACCTTTTAGATTATATTCACAGGTGGCATAGTGTCTCCCGCAAATCCAACATACACGGTCAAGGAGCTATCATTCCAATTATCCAACTCTGGAGCTTCTATGATAATTTCCTATCCCTCATGCCTTTCTACAATCATTGAGGCCGCCGCCGAAGTCGGAATTCCTCGTTCTAAAATATTTTTAATTGGTGATAAAGAGGTTGATGGATTTCAACCATATAGCACATTATTTATCGATCGGGAATTTGAGCCCGTAGAGTACACGCCGGAAGAGGTCAAGAATACCGTTGCAATTTTATGTTATAGTTCGGGCACTACTGGGAAAAGTAAAGGTGTTCAGACCACTCACACTAATATTATCGCAAATGTGGAGCAGTTTATCTCAATTGATAAGGGACTTAGTCAAAAGGAGGTTTTCATGGGTGTATTGGTATGTTATCTTTAGTATTACATTTTTTTATTAGCAAATATAATATATTAACCTTATTAAAATTATTTACAGCCATTCTTCCATATTTACGGATTGAATCTTCTCCTCCATGCTGTTTTGATCTTGGTAAACTATCAACCAAACATCACTATAATGCCCATACCTCTGATCGGATGAATACAACTTTTTTTTTTTTTTATAAAAGGGCGCCTCGACGGTATTAATCCCAAAGTTTGACTTGGCAACATTCTGTCGCGTGGTACAAGACTACAAGGTCACCTATGGTCACCTCGTGCCTCCAATAATTTTGCTATTGGTCAAAGATCCAACTGTTAAAGAGTATGACTTGTCGAGTTTGCGAGTTATCGTTAATGGAGCTGCTCCTCTTAGCAAATCATTAATTGACGATATGCTTAGTATTCATAATATTACTGTCAAGCAAGGATATGGTAAATATAGTTAACATAATTCGCCAGAAGATAATAGGAAAAATAGTTAAACTTATTACACTCTTTATTTCATGTTTTAGGACTTACTGAAACATCGCCAGTCATCAGTGTTGATGATGAGAAGGGATCGACAAAAGGCATCTACCGTTTTATTATTAATTATGTGAAACTATGCAACTACGCGGTAATAACTTTAAATTGGTATTATGTATTTGAAAGGTTCCGTCGGAAAACTGTTACCTAATATTGAGGCCAAGATAATTGCGGAAAATGGACAAGGTAAACTATTTGCGATGTGAGATTGTAAACATCAATTTTTTTTTTTTGTAATCGAATTTTTCTCGATTTTAGAATTAGATTGTAATCAACCCGGGCAACTTTGTGTTCGAGGTCCTAACGTAATGAAGGTTTGTTTTCAAAGTTATATTTTTCATCTTAATCAGACATTAAAGGATGAATCTAATATGGATAATTTACAGGGATACCTAAATAACGAAGAGGCAAACAATGCAGCTTTCGATAGTGATGGATTTTTATATACAGGAGATGTCGCCTTCATTGATGATCAAGGTCAATCGTAATTTTCACAAACACGAAATAACGTTTTTTT